GATGTACCAGCACTCTTACAGCAGATCCAGTTCTTTCTATAATCAAATATGGCCATTTCTTCAGATTCAAAGAATCGTATGACATAAGTTAGGTTCATTTTCTAGGTCGTGCAAAAGCTTCAAAATAACTTTAGACAGAATCTGAGGTATTTTTTGCAGTATCAGAGGGAAAAACTATATCCGAAGGAATGGAGTTGCACTCATTTTTGTCCTCTGACATGAAGCTTCCATGAGATCCCATGACTGATGGCGTTCAGAGAGGAATGCAGCCTGCCCATAAGTGAACCTAACTCTGAATGCCTCCATCCTGAAGTCCATCCCCAATACACGGAACTTTCTTGATGAAAGATCGCTTTGCTTCCAGATGAAATTAGAACTAACATCTACATGTGTAAGGTTGTTGCTCCTCTGATATAGCACACCTGGCTGTTCTGCTGTCAACTGGATGGCTGAAAAAAGGAGATACTGCCTAAGGAAAAGCCAAATAACCCACACCACAAGGAGGATGTAAAGTGGGAGGATAAACACAAGAGTAGAACAGTCTTTTAGAAGTTCTCTTCTGAACTGTGTCAAGTATATCCAGACTAGCAGAATCAAGGTCCATACAACATAGACTACATGGTGAGTGGTTTAAACACTTTTTAGAGAGTTAATTTTAGGTGTGCATCCGCAAGTTCTCAGGTCAAATATCAATAATGCATCACTGAAGACCATGTTATTCATGTCTTAAAGAAAGTTCCCTGTCTTGTAACTGACGGAGGAGAAGGAAGGCAGGAGTTTTTCTCAATATTAGAGCCTGGTGTTGAACCTGGAGAATGTCTTTGCCGTTATGCATGGCTGTTGCTACTTGTGAGTTACCAGACAGTGCAAGAAATTAGCTTTAGTCTTAGAACTATGAAATCCTAGTGGAGATTGTTCTCCTTCAGCACCTGGGACTTAACCTGAGAATGTGGCACGGCTCCATGCATCCCTGACTTTAGGCATGGTCACGTTATAGGAAGTGGAAGAAAAGGTATAAACTGGCTAAAAACAGTGGAAAGGTGATTTAAATATACCAGGAGAGTACAGTAAAGCAGCTCGCTGCTCCACTTTCAGAAACAATGAAAAGGTGATGGAAAAAAAGAAGATTCAAAACTATACAGCAGAGAGACAAACAAAAGGCTGTCAGCAACCACATCTGCAGGCTTACAGAAAGGCTGTTAGAATTTTCTTCTCTGCTTTAGGATGCAAATGGGATTTTTCATACAGAGAACATTGATTTTTATAGCCTCTCATAATTTTGAATGCAGAGGTATACATACTATATGAAGAGGTATTATAGTGAAGAGATACTTTGCAGACCCAGGTTCTTAGTCATTTCTCCAGATGTACTGCTGATTCAGACTCTATTGGTACAAAGAACTATGTCTCTTAAAAAAATTCAGTCCTGTGTACACATTTTAGGGTCTTAATGGAATATAAACCTCATAATAATTGTTATTTCTATAGTGAGACAGATTCATTTACTTTCTTGCTTCTGTAATGGCAATGCTAAAGCAAATGATAAAAAGACATCAGAAAATTTAGTAGATACACAGAAAAATTGTTTTTCTTTACTTAAAACAGACCCTGTAGGGGCACCTGGGGGTTATAAATTCTGATCTGACATGGAAGGTCAATAGTTTTAAGAGAAACAGAAGAGATGACATACACATGTATGCTGCATTTCCTATTCCTAAGTTCTCTACAGAACATACATATGCCCCATCCCTGGAGGTGTTCATGGCCAGGTTGGATGGGACCCTGGGCAGCCTGGGCTGCTATGAAATGTGGAGGTTGGTGGGGAGTTGAAGCTTCGTGATCCTTGAGGTCCCTTCCAACCCGGGCTGTTCTGTGATTCTGTAAAAAACCTTTAGGTAGAAGAGATGAAAGCTTGATATCACTGAATTTAATGACATATGCCTTTGATGAACATTCAATACTTCTCTTAATCATTCACTAGGTTAACTCCCATCTTTGTCAACGAACGTAAGCGTCAAAAAGAGGATGATCAAAATTTTCATCATAGGCTTCACTGATTTGGGCTCTCAGTTTAAGAGCTGTCATAACTCATTTTTCAGGATGCTGCAAGTGACTGTTGGCTTTACAGGCTTTAGTTAGCTGTCTAGAAAGTATGCAGGTTCAACTGGTAGCCTAAATTCCAGCCTAAGTATCATGCCTAACACCACAAAAGTCATCCATGACAACTGCAGAGATAAATTCTAGCTTTCCTGGCTCCCACGGTGCAATCTTTCCATATTACAGTTTCTGTTTCTCTACTTGTCCTTGTTGTTTACTTCCTGCCCTCCCAAAACAATAACAGACTGATGGATCCAGCTGTCTAAGCTTAGGTACCTCGTGCAATTTAAGATGTTATGGGATGTCTCAAATAAGGCATTCACGGCTGCCTAGTGGGTATGACAAGGAACACAAAGGAGATGTTTCTGGGCTAAAGATGCAAATCTGAAATGTTATTGCTATACATCTGTCTTTAAGCAACCAAATCAAGTCTGAAGCATCCAAAACAAGTACCCCCAAAAGCGCATAGATGTCACACTATGAGGAGCTTATCGAAAAAGTCAGAATCTGAGAAGAAAAGCCAAAAACCAGCTTAAGCTCCATCACTGTTGAGTGGAAAGATGATAGCAGTGGGAAAAAAGACTTCAGACAGAACAACAAAGGTAAACTGAGTCTACAAGTTACAGTTGTGGCAGCCCATCTTCAGGCATTTGTTTCTGTGTTCTTCAATGCAGCCACCTTTGGGAATATAAGTTGAAATGCTCTCATGACAGTGCTCAGCTTCTTCTACAAGCAGACCTTGATCTGCATGAGTATATTCTGAGCTTCAGTCCACTGTTATCAAGCACACTGCCAAGGTTCAGATATTCAGTATTGTCTCTGACTGGTCCCTACTGAATATTCCCAATTATGGGAAAATTAGGGATCCTGTGCTGCTTCTACAAATCAGAATGCTACTTCTGAAATGAATCCCTCAAGCCATGCCCATTAAAATCACCTTTTAAAACAAATTAGAGATTTGAAGTCTCTAATCACTCTGACTTAACGACTGGACTCTGATAAAACACACTGGATAAAAGGAAGAGCATTAGCCCCAATGAACTTCTCACTTGCATGCCAGAGAAGAGAATGTGGGACAGGACAGTCAACAGTTTTCCAGCTCTTAGAAGCACTGAACCTGCAGTTGCTCAGCATCACAAGAAGCCACAAGAAGCATTACTGAGAGAAGCCTCTTTTCCTCCTGGTTCAGTCATCCCATGTAGGAGGTAATGCAGGCATACAAAGAAACTGTTGTGAAGGTGGTGGCAACTGGAGAAAGCAGAAGACCATTCAGAAGCAATATTGCCATGCCTCTGCCCCCAATTGCGGGGTAAATTATTTTTAAATCAATAGTGTGAGAGCCTGGCAGTACAAAAAGGCAGGGCTGAAGGAAGCATCAGCCTACATTCAGTTTATATTTGTGCCTTCTGCTTCTGTAAGGAACTTATGGGAAGTTTGGAGTAGTTTCTTTCAGGATAACTATGATTGATAGCAGTGAAAAATGGAGAGACTGGCAGATCCAGATGCATACATTACAATACCTTTGACAATGCTCCTTATGATTGTTTTTTTACTTAAAAAAGGAACTGCATTACACTTCTACAACTTCTGTATATTCTACAAGATTATCCAAGATTCCTTCTCTCTTTCTTGGCTTGTTTAGTGAGAATTTACAAATCTCATTAACCCTGCTGATAGCAGGTACTGTCAACAAATTAAATTGTTTGGCTAGTTGGAAACTTTGGGGAATTCATAAGACTAAACTCTTCTCTGTTTTGGACTAGAAATGCTACTGTAAATGATACTAATTTGGCATTTGTGAGGAGCAAAGGAGAGGTAATATTATGTAAAGAGAATTCATTACAAATACGCATCCGCTGACATTAATAACCCCAACACCTAATTCTGTACACAAGCATCATTTTGACACTAGGGAAACCATAACTTCACATATGCTTTTCAGTCTTGTTTTCTTCCTGTTCCTAGCTTCTGAGGTCAAGTACCACTGTTTCCTTGATATTTCTGCTATTCCATATAGATTTCATGTAAATAAATTTCCTTTGGATTCAGAATCATTTTCCTCTAGTAAAATCTCTCCAAAAATGTTCAATTTCTTCCTGATTTTAGGAGCTGAGATCTAGTGTCCTGGGTGGTTGTTTTTTTCCTATGACCATTTCTCTGACTTTCATTCTTTTCTAGATTGAGATGTTTTGAGGTAAGTCAGAATATTTGTCACACAGAACAGCAGATCACAGAAAACGATCCTAGTTATGACATTAGAGCCTGACTACTTACACATTTTTATCAGCTGAGAAATTTAAATGAAAGATTTTTTTTGGCTGCTCTGGACAATGGAATTGCCATTTGCACAGAAAAAAAAAACGATGGCAAAACCTCATAACCCATCAGTTACACACACAAACTCAGTTCTAATGCATTTTAGTTGAGGTTCAAAGTCATCTATAGAAACCGATCTCTTCTTTCTCCAACCCTAAATGTGTCACTTGAGAGTCCAGCTTCCAATAAGAGCAGTAATGGACACACAACTAATTTTAGAATATAAAGTGCTCCTCACCATTTTGGAATACATATAATTTAAAATAACTGTAAGCCTAAACTTTGCAAAAACAGAAAATTCAAGCGCTAACAACAACAACAAGAAAAAAAGCATAATTTGTAATTGAAAGAAAATAATATTTAAAAGAAAAACAAAACAAAACAAAACAAAACCTTTTTGTCCTTCCAAAAAAGAGACAGAAATTACAAAGTTTTATTTCCCAGGAGAACGATGCCACTTTTGTAAAGAAAATTACAGTCACCACAAATTGCTCTCAACAATTCCAAAGCTTCTTCATTTGACCACTTGAAAATCAAAGTTCTTTAAGATTATAAATATAACTTTTTATAGCTCTGTTATTACGTACTGTGAATGGGGATAGGGGGCCAATCTTGTGGCCGTAGCGCCGAATGGCCTCTCTGATGTGGCTGGGCTGGATGGCATCGCTTTGAGCCTCCATACCACAGGCTGCAGCGCTCTGCAACAGAAAAACACATAAATTGTTACTAAATCAAAAACACACAACAGACCTACAGTGCATAAAGTATGAAAATAAACCTTTATAAGATCGACCAATCTTTTTTTTTTTTTTCCTAAGGATACACATCACTGCTGCCACACAGCACTTTAGAGAAAAAAAGCTATTAACAAATCAAAGAGGACTTTTACATGAACTCTGCTTAAGAGACCCAAAGAACACCATATTTGTCCTCTTAAATCTTTCGCCTAGTGCTGCTGTATGTTGCAATTGAAAAGAGCAGCAAATGTTCTAAGTGAAATGAAAGGGTCATATAAGTCACACTGCAATAACCACAGAAACTATTTTTAAAACATTTCAGGCTTTCATTATGATGTCAAGGGGTGGGGAAAATATTGAAGAAGTAGCCCAAGTGGAAAGCAATTTGATACCAAAATCGCCAATAAGTGATATTAGGCTGACATTTTGGAGATGAAACACGTGGCATTGTGGTGTGAGAGAGACATAAAAAAATTAAGTATCTAAAGATGGAACATCTTCAAATTTCAAATAATTTTTTGGAGGACAAACCCTAAAGAGGAAGAAGAAGACTTTGCTGCTACCTGTACATTGATTTTACTGAACATCCCCTGAATTCTAAAGGAAAAAGTTATTAATTTCTTCTTTCTGGTCAAAGGAATGGATTGGGATTGTTCAGTCTGAAGAAGAGGAGGCTCAGGGGAGAACCTCATTGCAATCTACAACTTCATAAAGGCAGGCTACAATGAGGAGGGGTTTGGCCTCTTCTCCCAGCAACAAACAGGACCCGAGGAAATGGCCGCAAGTTGTACCAGAGGAGGTTTAGGTTGGACATGAGGAAGAACTTTTTCTCTCAGTGGTCAGGCACTGCAATGGCTGCACAGGGAGGTGGTGCAGTCGCCGTCCCTGGCAGTGTTCAAGAGGTGTCTGGATGAGGAGCTGCAAGGTCTGGTTTAGTGCTGGTGGTAGCAGTGGTGATGGGAGGGTGGTTGGACTCGATGGTCTTGGAGGTCATTTCCAAGCTTGTGATTCTGTGATTCTATGACTGCTTGCCAGGTTTATCAGAGTGATGGCTGCTCAGTCATAAATTCATGACTATTAGTGAATGACAAAAACTTGTATTGAACGCTGAACATACACTCATACATGCTTCCCCTGTATGTTCGCACTACATATCAATGCTTTCAAACACGGAGGACATTTTTTACACAACATTTTATTTCAAGAGTGCCAAGTCTACTGAAGCCTGTGCACATATAAACAGAGTAACTGATGATATGGTGGTGGATTCTTCCCTTGTTGACTGATGTTCATAACGGGAATGTGAAACTCAAATATTTTCTGCTGGCCTCGGCCTTCATGGACTGAGAATAACATTCTTCACCAAGTTAACTCGTTTGTTGCAATGCTTCACTTGTATCCAGCACACACCTAATCAAGTTGGGTGACTCGTGGGAACATTTCATTAAAACTGTGCACCTTTTAGGACATAATTATTTTAAAAGGCATTAAGTCAAACACTAGGAATTAACTGAACGTAAACTCACAAAACTGGTGAAATATGAGGTATCAAAAATTCAATCTCCAGCTAAATTCCTGTTCCTGGGAGCAATAATGGTAATTGGCCGCAGGCACAAAATATGGATATTCAACTGCAGTATTAAAAAGGAAGAGGAAAAAGCAATCTAAAAGTCTTCAGAAAGGTTTTACAACTCACTGAAATTTGGACCTATTGGGAGTATCCACAGCCAGAGGGACAAAATAAACCTTTTTCTAACTATCATTATAGAATCACAGAAAGGCATGGGTTGAAAAGGACCACAATGCTCATCTCGTTTCAACCCCCCTGCTATGTGCAGGGTCACCAATCACCAGACCAGGCTGCCCAGAGCCACATCCAGACTGGAAGTTACTGGTAAAATTCTGTGAAAATGGGTACTGATTGTGTAGATGAATAACAGAGATGAAAAAATCATGTCACCATATTGTTTCGCAGCAAAATGAGTACTGCCATCACTTTCCCACCCCTTCCCTCTTCCCCCTCCCCCCCCAAAAAAAGCCTCAAGGGAATAACAGCGTTCTTCCGAACCAGTTTATTTAATCAAATCTATTTCCCTTGTGGTTTTAAGGTACATAGACCTCTCTCACACTGAATATCCAGGATCTACAACAGAAGACAGGAATTGTAATATTTACATTTCATGGACTGAACATGAGACGTCCGTATTTTATGCAAAGTAAACAAATATTTAGCTTGAATGCAACCAATTGGCACAGAAATAAAGGAGGTCAGGCAAAGTTGTTACAGGCAAAGAAGGCAGATGCCTAAGGCTGCTGAGAGCAAGGCAGTCACAACAACCTCTTTGCCTACTTTGCTTACACTTTGACCCTCCAGACCAACTCTTGCTGTTTATGTCAGTGAAGGGGGTGTTATTTTGGGTGGTGCTGCAGCTGTAGAGGAGCAGCTCCTCTTGGAAGCAGCATCTGTTGGCATTACTGAGAAGACTTACCCTAGTTCTGACAGAAATAATGTTAGACTGTATTTTGGCCCCTACTCTAATGCCGGCAGTAACACAATTTAAAATTAATGTGAATTAGTATTATATTAATAATTATAAATGACACAATGATATCCTCAAGATGTATATATATATATTGTCATGCTTCTGTACCTTTTTCCTTTTCCTCTGTTTAGATTTGGAAGAGTCCTGCCCAATCCCTCCATTCCCCAGCGCTCCCGATGGTGTCTTCCCAAGATGCTGCTGCCCTGCAGGTGTTGGTGGGGTGGGCGTAGGGGGTGGTGTGTTTTCAGGAGACTCAAGGCCAGTCTTCACACCTGCAGCCTGCCCTAAGAGATGCGGCTACGAAGACAAGATGCCCAACAGCAGTTATGGAATCAAATCACAAACTGGTTATGGCCTTCTCAGCTCTACTGTTAGAAGAGATGTGATACAGCACTGCTGGCTAATTCTAGTGTTTACCATCACACCTGCTTCACAGCAATGCATGCCTTGCAGAACCTACTGTGCTTGTATCTGCTGACAAATATGGACCTGAACGTTAATCTCTCAGTATGCAGCAGAGAGAGCCTTCAATAGAGAGAGAGGAAATTTCCACTAAAGGAAAGAGAAGTGACATTTAAATAAAAAGATGCTGCTAAGAATTTAAAATTTGGAGCTAAGACTATAACACCTTTCTTCTTACATCCCTAACTCTGTTAATGAACTCCACAGCAGAAGCCCATGTTAATACCGTGTTTCAATAAAACCTATGTAGAATGCAGATACTAAATAACAATACCTGTATAGAATGCAACTACCAAATACACGTAATACTATATGGAATATGGTAACAAAATAGATTTATTCACATTCCCCTGCATTATTATCATATAAATATGTGAGAAAGCAACATGTACCTCAGTAGAGTTGTGATACTGTATGAAGGTGGCAGATATGGCATGACTGAATGGGTCACCGGCCTTAGGAATCATGTCTTGTTTAACCAAAAGGGCCAAGTCCACCAACTGCAGAGGCAAAAACAGCCAATAAATACGCTGGTTTATGCATCATGAATGCAATTGTAACAAAGAAGAGATAGGAGGAGTGGGCTGAGGCAAATTATTCTTAGTGTTTCTCAGTAGAAAACAAAATTACTGAGATTTTTTAGCCTAAGGAACCTCTTTTCCACTTCTGTAAATAAATGGAGTGATTTATCTACCCAAGAGGGCTTGGCTTGGCACTAAGGTGACGTTTTGTTTTCCAGGAAATCCTGCTTTTTAATCCAATTGTGCAATCGGCTTGAATGAGCCTCAGCGTGTTGCCAAAGGTCACATAGCAAAGTGTGTGGTTTCAGTTTGGATTTGAATAAAGCTCGTGCTGGACTCCACTCCCCTCTGTTAGAAAACATTTCTAATGGTGTGTTATCAGATGGGTGACTATGGTACGGCATACATTTGCTGTAGAGCAAACTGAAGGACAGGTAGGGATTCAATCAACCTGCTTGGCCCAGTTAGCGTATCCCAAAGTCACCAATTCATGCCTGTTAGTTATTGCTCAGCCAGGCTGCTCCCTTACCTGTGCCACAGTCTCGTAGGCTAAATATGCCAAAATCTCCATTGCAACCGCATTTGGCTTTATCTCCATGCTGCTACAATCCAACCAGTCACGAAACTTGGATGCTTTCTTTGCTGTCAGTTCAAATCATGGGGGAAAAAGGAAATGTTAGTGGCAGGTAGGCCAAAATAATGTGGAAATACTGTGAAGGTACCACAGAGTGTCAGTGTAATTCAATCAGCCACAGAGGGAATTAAAAATGGAACTAGTGAGGAAAGGCAACTGTTTCATACACAACATTTTGGAAACCCATAAGCAGGAGAAAGGAGAAGAACGTTCCAGACATTTCAGAAGAAGGACCTACCTCAGAGGACAGTAGACAGAATAAATCTGATTTGAAATGTACGACGGTAAAAGAAGTAACAGGATTGCATTGCAGCTTTGACAAATGGCAGAAAAAGGCGTTTGAAGAAACCAACCCAAACCTGAGGTTTGGAGCCCAGATAAAAGGGATATAATTGAGTTAACAAAGTGAAGACAAATGATGGACAGTAGAAGGAGTCGGAAGTGCTGTGCTGTACTGAGCGGGGGTTAGGTGCTGACAAGCCAGCCAACATGATTTGTGGAGCAGTATTTTTTAAATTGTGCATCGGAGGTAAGGACATAATGTAGATCTGCAAATGATCAACACTGAGACAAGAGCTTCACACTGCTAATGGATGAGATCGCTCAGGAAAAAGCACAGAGAAAAATATGGAGCAAGGCAACATAGAGACTTTGCTGAGAGGGTAAAAGAGATACCCAAATGGAACTGAAAAAGCATCATGGAAAGGCACATAAAAACCAAAAGAAGGATGAGTTTACTTCAGCCAGAGGCAGGCAAGCTGATCACAGACAGAAACAAATCATACAGAGGTCTTAATATGAGGACAGGACAGTCACAATGCAGTGAATACCCTGTATTCACCTAAAACAGCTCTTTCAAAGAGGGTCCTCACTGAGGAGTAAAAAGCTAAAGAGAAGGCAGGTATCAAACAGAAACAAATGTCAATACAGATTATTTTTTAGGATGGAATGAGATCCCACAGTGCCTGAGCCTTTGGTGGATCTCTTCTTCTGCCTGCCTTTAAAGCAGCACAGAAAGTGGTGCTGTAATCAGGAACATACACCGCCAGAACAGACTTCAAGTCCAAGATCTGATCTCCTGGGACCTAATATTCATGCATTTATATTACAGTAAAAAGGGTTTACTACTCGAAACAATAAATTTTCATTAATAAATGCAATTTTTAATAAAATAAAAAGAAAATTAGCAAAAATAACCTTTCTATTACTTCAGAACAAATGTTCTGGTTGGCCATTAGCATGTGCTACCCAGTTGAGTTCATATTATGCAACGGAATTTGTTATGAGTCCGTGATTAAGGACTGTAATTCTCTTAGTCTTTAATGACACTGAACTTCAGTGAGAAAGAAGTGCACAGATACGGTCATTTAAAAACACTACTAACATACCACGGAGGTTTTTTTATAAATCACAGTCCCCTGGTCAGCAACATTCGAGTAGTTTTTGCAAATTAAGATTTGCATTTGCTCTCTCTCCAGACGACTGTTTGGGGGTTTTAAAAATGGCTTCATCACAAACCTCTCGTTGGCTGAAGTCACCCTGATCTGAGGTATCATTCATCTAATGGCTCACAGATGCGTGATGCCAAATCGCGACCGAGCGCACAAAACATTCTGAGCTAGGAAAACAAATGCCTACAAAAAGCGTTTTCTGACATTTGCTGACACAGAACAGTATTTCCAATGTGTCATTTGTTTGTCACAAATGACTCACTCGTTCTTCCAATTTAAGAGTCCTGCTAGGAAGAACAAGATAAGGTCTCTCATTTAAAGACATCATTGTGCTCAGTGCATGGTGTCGGATCATGTGCTGTTTTGTCACGATTTTTAAGGGCTCTCTAACCTCGCTTTTTCTGACATTGGACCTTAAGCCTTAGTCATCACTTAAGTGCCTCTGTAATGATGTTTTGCTACATGATCAAGCCCATTAATTTACAGCTCGTTATAGTTGTGGCCCACAAGTACTTCTAGTAAGTTGGTTTTCAGTGCTAGTAAAGCCCTAATTCTGTCATCATGTTATTAGTGTTGGAATGGCATATACTGATGAATTTGGCCAACGTTGAATAAATTCCACAGCAGGAGCTTACAGCTTAAAATAGAAAAAGACTCTTTAGTAAGTTCTTTGTGTCACTGTGGACACAGAAATAAAAGCAAAACTTGCTGCTCTTCTCTAATTTTAGATGCATTCCTTGGGACCTGCAACTGTGACGTCTTATTAATGTGCTGCCCACACCAGCACCACGACAGACCTCAGGCAAGCATGGCTGCTGCAGCCCATTAACTCCTTACAAGTTCTGTCTCTGCAGCAGTTCCCAGCAGCCCAGTATCTGAATCTGGTAAATCTTCACAGAAACACTCTGCTAGATAGCCTGAAACTACGCAAAATTAACTGTTCCCAGGAATTATGAGGACAAAGTATTTTTTTAAATCATTTTTTATAGTTTCCTTTTTATACTTGTATTATTGTGGGTAAAACAAAAGTGCTTTCAAGGAGCACGAGGTTCTGCCTCTTTCTCTACGACATGAAACAACAGTTGAACACCTGATTGCAACGCAGCCGTTTTAATACTTACAAAAACTCAACTGGCGACTTTCACAGAATTCTGCGTACTGGACTGAGTCCATCATCCGTGTTTGTCTTTCTGCTCTCTGACAAAAGAGTAGAAGCACATGATGAACCTTATTCCAGTAAGAACTGCATTCCACAACAAAGATTATAGCAGCACGGTGCCCCTGCCACAACCTTCCAGTGACCCCTCCCCAAATTAAACGTGCATTGACCAATTTCAGATGCAGAAATACAATCGCTTCTCATTGGCCCCAGGAGTTAAGATTCTCAGAGGAGTGTGTCCACTTCCAGTTTAAGATTCTGCTACAGGAGAAGAAAGTAAATCAGAGCTTAAGAAAAGTGGCTTAAAATGTTCACTGCTGGATTTAAGACTGAGCACACGCCTGAGATCTGTTTACTTCAAGAGGTGCAGAGTGGATTTTCACAGGGTAAGGATCTGGTCTCTAGAAGAGATCAAGAGATACTGGGGGCAGGAAGCAGTAGTTAGGTTAAAGAGAACAATTATCCTTCTCAGATGAAGACAGTTGAATCAAGTCTCTTAAACAAGGAAAGCATACTATTTGTTTTACACATCAAGGAAACAAACATAACCATCTTCCAAACATAAAAGAAACCATTAAACCTGGCAAGAGCAGAACTATAGTTCAGAATACAGAGCGGTGTCAGGGGAGGCTGACGGCCCTGCAGTTAGTCCATACAGCTCAAGACCCCGTGACTGCAGGAGGTGGAGGACAGCTGTGTAGGCATTACAAGCAATAAAACAAACAAAAAGCACACACACAATTTTTTCTTCGAGTCCCTGGGCTCCTCTGCGTCTGATGAACTGAAATTTGCAGAGCCCATTAATCTGGTTTAGCAGAACATTAAAGCGCTGTTGATGAGAGTATTTGAAGACGGGCAACGCAACCAACACTTGGCCTTGAAACTTTCTAATATCAGAAAAAAATCAGTACTTCAAATACTGCTTCTTCCTCTGTTCTCTTCCTGCTCTTCTATGACAGTGCAGTCCAGCCATTAGAAGATCTCATTGACAGACATCACGTTCAACCTAGCTGTGAATGGAACCACCTGCCATTCAGGAACACACCTTCTTTCCTTCTTTCTTTTCATCTCTACCCAGTCAATCATTTCTGCTGCTTTTTGACTCTTCGTCAACCAGATAGAAAACATTCCCTTTCAGTACTTTTCAATACTTCCATGCATTCTTCTGGCATCTTGACTACATTTTGTGGAGCTGCTTTTTCAGATAAGTAAAACTTCTCAGCCAATCTATTCCAGCAAGACATTAGGTCTAAATTTATTTTGTATTCTGTAAAAATAAACGTCACAATAACTTCAATCCTCATCTAGCATGATCAGAACAGAGATCTGCTTTGCCTCTGAATTAATTCAGTCATATTTTTCAAGACAGAAAGAACCACTGGGATCACCTAATCTGATCTTCTGCATAGTGCAGGACACTTCTCACATAATATACTAAAATTCAGTTATAGGAATTCTTGCACAACTTTACTACATAGAATCATAGAAACATAGAAATTATTCTACATCTTTGAAGGGCATCTAATTTTAACTTAAATATTTCACATATTAAGAGATTGCATTCAAATAATTCAACTTTTTTATGCAAATACAGATTACATTCTGCAATCATTTGTGTCTGCCAGTCACAAATTGCTAGTTGGACATTTTCAGATAATGATGAAATAAATAACAGAACCACTGGTAGGTAACTGAATGGACTAAACTTCTCTACATGTGACAAAATTGTCTTAAATTTGTACACATCAGCGTGCAGCCTCATAGAACTGATGGCTGAGATCCAGCTGACCTCCTTCTGCTCTATAGTCAGTCTAAAACAGGACTCCTGCCTACACAAGATCAAGTCAGCCATGGCTCACTCCAGCAAAGTCTTAGACTCATAGAATCACCAAGGTTGGAACAGACCTCCATCTCATCCAGTCCAACTGCCCACCTACCACCAACATTTCCCCATTAAATCATGTTCTGCAATACAATATTTAAATGTTTCCCAGATGGGAATGGTAACTCAACCACCTCCCTGGGCAGCCCATTCACTCTTTTGGAGAAGTTTTTCCTTACTTCCAATCTGAACCTCCCATGGCAACATTTCCTCTAGTTCAACCCCTCTCACATGGGAGAAGAGGCCAACCCCCACAATTAATTCTAGACTTTTGTTTAATACCAGTTTTCTGCTCCATTTTCTCAAGATTTCTTTGAAATGGAAGGATCCAAAAACCTGGCTGTTACATTGCAGATTTGGCCTTAGTAACGTCAGGTGGAAAGGAATGACTACTTCCTCCAGCCTGCAGGCACATTTCCCCTACTGCTGCTCACTGAGAGCTTTGTTTCAGCTATGATGAGAACTACTGCTAACTGAATGCAACCTGCTGCCTCCCAGGGCTGCTGGTGGGACAGCCAGGTGGGACCCACGGGTGCTGATGTGCAGGGTTACTCTGTACCTGATGTGGAAATTCACTGAAGTTTCCATTGGTCCAGGTATCAAGGTTTCAAGATGCGATTGGACTGAAGCTCTGTCAATCAGTGTAGCAGTAATTTACAATCATTGACAGATTGGCAGAATGTGTATTTTGTGGTTTTGCCAATACAGGGGGAAGACATGGGAATATTGAAAAAATGCTATAAACTGTATGCCATGCTTCCTTTTAAATCTACAAAAAAACCCATTTGCTTTTTTCCCACAGACTTTATTCTTTCAACTATCATTTTACAAAAAATGCTTAAATAAAATATGAAATTCTCCAGATTCTCTTTTGGAAAGGAGCAGCACTCCAACAGAACTGAAGTCCTCTTTTATCAGTATAAAAGCAAGTCTGCTGAGAGTCATTCCTACACGAAGAAACAGTGAAATCCTATTGCCATGCTGCCTTAAAGCAATCTCAACTTGAAACCTGATTAAAGAAATGACTTGAATTATACCATCCCACCAGTTTATCAAAATGTATTAAATATATATGTATGTTATGTAGTTTTCACTCCCTTTACAGTAGTACTAGTCATTCTAAGTAGTTAAGAAGCTGAATTATGTGGTGCACAGCAGACTGAAAATACTTCACATGCTTTCCTTGGAACACGCTGAAGGACGCAGCAGATAGGACCTGGCACAGCACATCTATGCTTAGTCTTCCAAAAATGTGTTGCATTATCTCCCTCTTTCAGCATGAAGAATTAAAAAGAAAGACTAAAGAGAGACAGGAAAGAAAAAGTGAAGAGTTCAATGTTGTCAGCTGCCATCCAGGATGAAAAATAATCTTATTCTGATTCCATTTCAGAGCTGTCACACTTGAGATATCAAGGTCTTTGTGCTGGGGGAAAGGCAAGAAGCCAAATGTTAACTTGCTTACCAACTATTGAGTATTTGAAGGAAATGTGCTGAGTTGCTGCTAAGCTGGAACATTTGAAAATGGTGTGTGGCATGGTTGGACACCCCTGTGTTTGGCATCAATGTTAATGACAAAGATGTTGGCTCCCAAACTGCCTGCGTATTCAACCCGTGGCACTTTCCTGCTTTCCATACTAAATACCTCCTCACGATGCACCTACTGCAAAAGGAGTTAGCTGACTACTCCATAGAAGAAAAAGCTCTCCGGCTGCAACTATAATTGGAGAAATAAAGCAAATTTTGAAGGGTTCAATATTGGAAGGCTTGCAAGAAGTTAAGACAGTTCTGCTACTGGCTTCAACTCTACCAGCGTTTCACCTGGAGTCCAGCATCTTTTAAAGATTAGACTGAACAATCTATGATGTTTATGAACAATTTATGAGCAATCCTCTGTAAACAGGCATTGGTTCATACTATTGGTGATAGGTGGATGGTTGGGCTGGATGATCTTAGAGGTCTTTTCCAACCTTAAGGATTCTGTGACACGCTGAAAACACATTCTCTAAAAATCTTACAATCTTGAAATTCTCTGAGAATTACCACTATCTGAAGATTTCTGCTACGTAAAGGAAAAAAGTACTTTTCCAATGATCACTTGAATTGGTTAACAAAAGAAAAAGGTGCTTCATGAGTGAGCATTTGCAAAGATTAATCTCACTCAGAGTTTTATACAGAAAATAAAAACGCCACTTGGGAAAGATCAATAGCTTTTGTTACACTAAGCTTGATTTGGCTATAAAGCACAGACACACGGGAGCTTTTTATCATTTTTACCCACCTCTTATAGAACATACCATACATTCTGCAGTAACCATTAATCTGAACAAACCTGCATTACAAAGAAGGCCTTTGATGTAACACTGTTTATGAAAGCTCACTTGAGTGCAAACTTCCTCGAATCTTCGTTATTAAAAGAAAACACGAGGTCTTTCTCAGACTGACAAAGATGATTTCTATTTTAATAGAGATGTCCTGCTGTGGATGGTAACAAATACAGATCAAAGTAGGCTTTAAAACAATCACAATTTTTTCTGTTTAGGGACAAAAGAAAGAATTCATTTGATGAAGGACATCTACAGCATGCTAATTAGTCATCTGAAGTTCTTTTAGTCAAAAAGATAATAAGGTACTTTCAAAGACCAACTTCTTCCTGAAGCAGACGTTAGCAATAGGTCAGATGAATCACATCTGTGAATTTCTCAGTAGTTCATTAACTGTGGACATCAGTGATGGAACCCTTACGTTACAGACGTGCATGAAACGCCGGATGAGCCCCGTGACTGAAGAATAGCTTTGCCAGCAGAGCAACACAAAAGCAAAGTCCAAAGAATGACTCAGTAAATTTGGTTCCTGCTCTGCTCTCGAAACCATATAACAAAGGCAGCTTTGTACTCTGGGCGTGTGTCAACTCTCTCCATCTTTCTTTAAGTATTTAAAAATGAAAGCTAACAGAGCAGATAAGTAGCAGGAAGGGAGCTGGCAAGACAGTTTAAGATTATGTAAAAATTTCAAGGGAATCCTAAAGAACGAAAGCAAATGGAACCTTGTAGACAATAACAAAATTAATGGAATAATTCCCAGTAGTCACAATCTCACTGCTTGAGGAATAAATAACAGTGACCTCCTTATAGGAACTCACCACTGCTCTAATATTTC